TCTGAGTGGTCCTGGAATGGTGTTTGGGGTCTGGGTGGCTCTGGGATGGTCTTTAGGGTCTGGGTGGCTCTGCGATTGTTTTTAGGGTCTGGGTGGCTCTGGGATGGTTTTTAGGGCCTGGGTGGCTCTGGGATGTTTTTTAGGGTCTGGGTGGCCCTGGGATGTTTTTAGGGTCTGAGTGGCCCTGGAGTGGTTTTTAGGGCCTGGGTGGCCCTGGGATGGTGTTTGGGGTCTGGGTGGCTCTGGGATTGTTTTTAGGGTCTGGGTGGCCCTGGGTTAGTCTTTAGGGTCTGGGTGGCTCTGGGATGATTTTTAGGGTCTGGGTGGCCCTGGGTTAGTGTTTGGGGCCTGGGTGGCCCTGGGATGGTGTTTAGGGTCTGGCTGGCCTTGGGATGTTTTTTTGGGGCCTGGGTGGCCCTGGGATGGTGTTTAGGGTCTAGGTGGCTGTGGTTTCTGGGGTCTGGGTGGCCCTCGGCTGGCAGTGGGGCCTGGGTGGCTCTGGGATGGTTTTTAGGGCCTGGTTGGCCCTGGGATGGTCTTTAGGGTCTGGGTGGCTCTGGGATTGTTTTTAGGGTCTGGGTGGCCCTGGGTTGGTGTTTGGGGTCTGAGTGGCCCTGGGTTGGTGTTTGGGGCCTGGGTGGCCCTGGGTTGGTGTTTAGGGCCTGGGTGGCTCTGGGATTGGGTTATGGGGTCTAGGTGGCCCTGGGATGGTGTTTGGGGTCTGGGTGGCTCTGGGATGGTTTTTAGGGCCTGGGTGGCCCTGGGATGGTTTTTAGGGCCTGGGTGCCTCTGGGATTGGGTTATGGGGTCTGGGTGACCCTGGGATGGTCTTTAGGGCCTGGGTGGCCCTGGGATTGTTTTTAGGGTCTAGGTGACCCTGGGATGGTTTTTAGGGCCTGGGTGGCCCAGGGTTGGTGTTTGGGGTCTGGGTGGCCCTGGGTTGATTTCTGGGGCCTGGGTGGCCCAGGGCTGTTTTTGGGGTCCGCGGTTTTCCCAGCCCCATGCCCAGGTGACCCCTATCAAAGCCCCGGGGTGCTCCAGTGGCCGGGCGCTGGCGTTGTCACCAGGGCGGGCTGGCAGCGCCCGCAGCCGTTGGGGGACCTTGCCCCAATCCTTGGCTGGTGGCGATGGAGCAGCGGGTGAGTCACTGCTGGGGACAGGGGACAGGTGGCACTGGGGCGTTTGTCACCGCTCAGAGCCTGGCATGAGGCTGGTGCTGCCCGTGGCCGCTGTGGTGCCCGTTTGTCCAGGGATGTGCCTCACCCCGTGTGCCCAGTGCCCTAAAAAGGTGGATTTGGTGGGTTTGGCTTCGGCTTCAGCTTGGTTTGGATTTGTTTCATTTGGATTCGGTTTGGTTTCGATTTGCTTTGGGTTTGGTTCACATTTAGATTTGCTTTAGGTTTGGGTTTGGTTCACGTTTAGATTTGATTTCAATTTGGGTTTGGTTTGGGTTTGGGTTCAGGTCTGGATTTGTTCAGTTTGGATTTAGTTGGTTTCGATTTGGTTTGGGTTTGGTCCAGGTTTAGATTTGCTTTAGGTTTGGGTTTGGTTTGGGTTTAGATTTCCTTTAGATTTGGGTTTGGTTCAGTTTAGATTTGCTTTAGATTTGGGTTCAGGTCTGGATTTTTTCAGTTTGGATTTGATTTCAGTTTGGTCTGGATTTGGTTCAAATTGGATTCGGATTTGGTTTCAGTTTGGATTTGGATTTGGTTGATCTGGATTTTGTTCCGTTTGGATTTGGTCTGGATTTAGTTTGGTCTGGATTTGGTTCAATTTGGATTTGGTTTGAGTCTGGATTTGGCTTGGATTTAGTGGGTTCAGTTTGGATTTATACTAGTTTGACTTTAGTTCAGTTTGGATTTGGTTTGAGTCTGGAATTTAGTTTGAGTCTGGAATTGGTTTGGTTTGGATTTAGTCTAGTTTGGCTTTAGTTCAGTCTGGATTTAATTTGGTCTGGATTTGGTTTGGATTTAGTTCCATTTGTGTTTAGTTTAGCTTAGTTTGGGATCAGTTTTGTCGGTGCCACGCCGTTGGCACATTCTGGGCTGGGCTGGGACCACTGGTGCCATCCTGGGCTGGTCACTGGTGCTGAGCTCGCCCCAAAGGGGCACAATCCGGATTTTTGGGAGGAAGATGCGGTGCCGAGCAGCGTCTCACGGGGCTCCCGGGATTTCCGGGAGGGACGGAGCCCAGCGGCCTCCCCGTGCTCCGCTTCCTTCTTTGGAGCTTTCCTGGCCATGGCAGCCCCGGTCCCTTCCCTCCCTCCTGCCCGAGGATTTTCTCTTCCCAAAGTCCGGGCGCAGCGTGGCTCACCCCAAATCCCGATTTTGCCCGTTCCCAAGGGCTCCCCGGGGTATTTTTGGGGTGCTGATACTCTGTGGGTCTGTCCCCCACCGTTCGGTGCTTGTGCCCATCCTGGTCCCCGCGGGTTCCTCCCGGTGTCCCCCGGGGAAGGAACAGCCGCGGAGAGGGGGGGGACACACCCGGGGATGCTTTGGGGACACCCGGGGACGCTTTGGGGACACAAGCAGGGGGAAGGGACGCAGTCCCTGAATCCAGGGCAGCGACAAAGCTCAGCTCAGCGCGGCTGCTTCCCTCGCTGTGACACCCGCCCTTCCCGCTGCCCTGCCGGGCTGGGGGGATCCAGGAGCCCCCCCTGAGCCCCCCTGAGCCCCTCTGAGCCCCTCCGAGCCCCCGATCTGCCCGTGTCGCCCTTCCCCTGCCACCAGCTCCGCACCTGGGCTGGGGGAGGCGGCCGTGCCGCGCTGCCCTTCGCCTCTCCTCTGCGGGGACGAGGCGAGCCGGAGCTGTTTGTCCCCGCTGTCGCCTTCCCCCGCCGGCTGCCGCACACCGGGACCGCCCAACCCCGCCGGCACCGGAGCCACCGGATCCCCCCGGAGCCCCCCGGAGCCCCCCGAGCTCCAGCGGCGCCGCCGATGCCGCGGGGCGCGGGGGATTGTCACGGGTGGCACAGCGTGGGCACGGCCCGAGCCCCCCGCCCGTGTCCCCGCGCCCACGCGGGGCTGTCGCGGTGGCACCGGGGTGGCACCGGGGCCATGCCGGGAGCCCGGAGCGGGCGCTGAGCCGGGCGGGCCCCCGGGACCATGCTGAAGTTTCGGGCGGACCGGAGGGTGAGGTAGGAGCCCGCAGGGGTTTTGGGGGGAGCCGGGGGGAGCCGGCGGGGCGGGACCCCCGGCCCGGGCAGTGGATCCGGGCAGCGCTGCTGCATTGCAGTGCTGGGAGGCGATGGGCACGGGCGAGTCGCTGGAGCGGGGTCAGCCCCGGGAGCGGCTTCCCGGAGCTTTGCGGCTCCTCCCGGGGGCTGCGGGTTGGGGTGGGGGCGGGCAGCGCGGTGGGTGCCAGGAGGAGCCGAGGGGGGTTGCGAAATGGGGGTGTCCTCGCAGGGACCTGCAGGGATTGGGGGGGGACACCCAGCGTGGGGTTGGGGGTGGTGGGAAGGATGGGGGCACCCCGGCGTGGGGTCCCGAGAGGTTGGTGGGTGCTGGCAGCGCCCACTTCCCACGCTTGGCGCTTTCGGGGTGCTGCTCTCTCAGCATTGCACCCTCCCCGCGCGGCAGCGTCACTGCGGGGATGGGACCTGCCCCATTTCCCGGGATTTGAACCCCCCCGAAGGCACCGCCGGGGGTGGGGGGAAAACGCTCCGGGAGCAGCTCCAGCCCTGGGGCAGAACCGCCCCGGCACTGGGGGGGACTCCGGTCAGACCAGCCGGGCGCTGGGGGACGGTCCGGAGAGCGAACCCCACAAATTGTGGGGTGCACGCACATCCCCGGGTTTTTCAGGTGCCCCCGGGCAGCAGCTCAGCGGCAGCAGCACTTTTTGGGGTGTCAGTGGTTAATGGCTCCAGAGCTGGGCTGGGATGGGATGAGATGATCTTGGCAGTGGCGTTTTGTGCTCAAACTTCCCCCGTTTTGCTGACTGGCGGGAGGAGTTGGTGGCATGCTGGGGCTGGCTCCGTGTCCCGGTGCCCGGCGGGTTTGGGAAGGAGGGGATGGGATCTGGTGCAAAATTCCTGGGATGGAGCCCTGGACCTCCTGGACTTCGTCCTTTCCCTCTGGGCACCCCGGGAAGCGGTGTGGGAGGGGGTCTGGGAGGCCTGGCAGTGCCATCTCCGTGGGATGGGGCAGGGACCTGGCACGAGGTGCCAGCTGAGCCCACAGGGACAGCCCTGTGCCACTGCTGCTGCCACTGCCAGGGTGCACCCAGTGCCAGGGAGGCAGAACAGCTTGTGCTGGGAATCCTGGGCCTGTGTTTGGGGTCTGAGGGGTCCTGGGGTGGGTTTTGGGGTCTGAGGGGTCCTGGGCTGGTGTTTGGGACTCAGCCCCCGTGCCCAGGTGACCCCACTCAAAGCCCCGAGGTGCTTTGGAAATGGCTCCGAGAGCAGCCAGGGGAGGAGGTGACATTGGGGACATCGCTGCAGGCACAGCCCTGGATGGGCCATGGCTGCTGCTGCTGCAGCGACTTGTGCGTGTGGCCGGTGGTGACAGCTGGGATGTGACAGCAGCGGGACGGGCGGCTCGGCCACCACAGCCCTGATTTTGGCACTTGAATGAAACCTCCGAGTTCCCAGGGAAGGGGACGGAACTGGGGAAGGGGCTCAGCCTGGAGAAAAGGAGCCTCGGGGGGACCTTGTGGCTCTCTCTGACAGAAAGTGGCAATCAGGGGGGGCTCGGGCTCCTCTCACCATCCCTGGGGGTGTCCCATGCAGCGGATGTGGCACTTGGGGACACACCTTGTCGCTGCTGGGCTCAGTGATCTTGGAGAGCTTTCCAGCCGAAATAACTCTGTGGTGCTGGGAAGGATCCTGAATCTGGGGTTAGCGGGGTGCTCGGGGCAGGGGATGCCAGCCCCGGTGCCAGGCCCGGTGTTGGCGTGGAACCAACACAGCGGCAAACGTGGTGCCACGGGGAGTCTGTGGGGGACACGGGGACTCCGTGGGGACACGGGGACCCCTAACAGCCACCCCACGGCTGTCCCCACAGCCACAATGAAAGGCGGAACACCTTCCTGCACCCAGTGACGGGACAGCTCCCCGAGGACACCTCAAGGCTTGACTTGCCAAAGTAGGTCGGCTCCCAATCCCCTCGGGCTGGGGGGGCTGGGGACGCTTGGGGGGCGACCCCAGGAGCACGGAGCCGCTGATCCCCCTCTCCCGTGTCACAGCCCCAGCTCGGACATGTCCAGCAAGGCGGGCAGCAAGCGGCCGGCCACCGTCCCCAGCGAGCCGCCCAACCACGCCATGGTGGCCGAGGTGCCCCCGGAGCGCCCCGGAGGCCGGGTGAGTGCCCCGGGTGACAGCGTGGCACGGCTGTCACCAGCTCGGACGGGGATTTGGGCAGCCCAGCCATGGCTGCTGAGCATCTCCTCTCGCTCTTGCAGGCTCCGCGCTCGTCCCGCAAAGGCATCGCCTTTGGGAAGCGCTCCAACTCCATGAAGAGGAACCCCAACGCCGCCGTCACCAAGAGCGGGTGGCTCTACAAGCAGGTACCCACCCCGTGCCACCCCTCCCGGGCCTGCAGAGCCGCGGCAGCGCCCGCAGCGCTCTCACAGCCCCTCTCCCGCAGGCCAGCTCGGGGGTGAAGCAGTGGAACAAGCGCTGGTTCGTGCTGGTGGATCGGTGCCTCTTCTACTACAAAGGTACGGCCACCCCCAGGGCCACCGGCACAAAGTCGGCACAAAGTCCCGGGCTCTTCCCGCTGTTTGTGCCGCTGTTCGCCGCGCCCGGGGCTTCGTGCCGAGTTTTCCCCGCCTCCCTGGCAGCTCCCGGGCTGGCATCAATAATTGAGGAGGTTGTTTGCGAGCCTGGCACGGCTGCGGGAGCAGCAACAGGCAGGGAGCCGGTCCCACAGGTGGGATGGAGCCGGGGGATGGCACGGGGGGGCTGTGCTGGGGGTCCCTCCGTGGGTTTAACCCCAGGATTCACCCCCCACCCCCCCCAGACGAGAAGGAGGAGAACATCCTGGGCAGCATCCCCCTGCTCAGCTTCCGCGTGGCCGCCGTGCAGCCCTCGGACAACATCAGCAGGAAGCACACGTTCAAGGTCAGTGCCTCACCGGGGCTCGCAGGGGACAGCGTGGCACTGGCGTGGCACTGCCGTGGCACCGCGGTGGCACTGGTGATGCTGGCAGGGTCCCCGCTGCTCTTGTGGCTTTCTTGGTGATGGGGCATGGAGCACGCTGCGGTGACCCCAGTGGCTTCAGGTCGGCTCTGCTGGGCAAACGGGGACACAGCGGTGTCCCCGAGGTCCCCACCCCCTCTGCAGGGCTCTGCTGGGTGCTCCCACCCCTCTCCCTGCCTCGCTTTCCCCTCTCCATGGCCGCTGTCCCCATCAGCTGCTCCCGGAGCCGGGCTCGGAGCTGTCCCCGGTGCCAGCCCCGTTTGTCACCGGCAAGAGGGGAGCCCAGCAGCGGCTGCTGTGGGGCTGGAGAGTGGGGCAGGGAGAGGTGACGGGGCTGCTGCTGCCCCACATCCATCCCTGGCAGGGTCTGAGCTGCCCCGGTGCTCTTTGTCACCTTCCTCAGCCCAGCTGCTCATGGTCACGGGGCGCTCTGACACCCCCTTGTCGGTGCCAGTGTCCCCTCCCCATGTCCAGAGCCGGGGCTGGGGTCCCCACATGGCACTCCCGAGTTTTTCCCAGTCTAAGGGAGGGATTTGTGCAGCTGCCCCCACTTAAACCTGAATTTAGGCTCAGCTGAGTGGGTTTAGGGAGGAGGGATGGCATGGGGTGTGCCCTGTGCCCACACTGGCGTCACCTTCTGTGACCTGCGGGTGTCCAGGGAAGGGTTTGGAGAATCCTGAGGGAGCTGGGAAGGGTTTGGGGAGCCCTGAGGGAGCTGGGAAGGGTTTGGAGAATTCCTGAGGGAGCTGGGAAGGGGCTCAGCCTGGAGCAAAGGAGGCTCAGGGGGAATTTCTGGCTCTGCACAACTCCTGACAGGAGGGGACAGCCGGGGGGGATTTGGGATTTTATCCCAGGGAACAGGGACAGGAGGAGAGGGAACGGCCTCAGGCTGTGCTGGGGAGGCTCAGGTTGGACACCAGCAGGAATTTCCTCATGGGAAGGGCTGGAAGGGGCTGCCCAGGGGGGTTTGGAGTGCCCATCCCTGGAGGTGGCACCTGGAGGTGGCACTGAGTGCTCAGGGTGGGGTTTGGGCACAGCCTGGACTCGATGATCCCACAGGGATTTTCCAGCCTCAATAATTCCATGATTCTGGGAAATCCCTGCTGCCTGACACCGATGAGGGAAAACCTCTCCAAGCTGCTGCCCACACCCCGAGCTCTGCAGCTCCTGGGTTTGGGAGAACAATTTTGTCCAGGGAAGGGCAGAGAGATTCCCACCCCACTCCCACTGACCCCGTGTCTGTGTTTCCTCCTCCTCCTCCTCCTCCCTCGGCGGGCGAGGATGCCAGGACAGGAGGGCTTTTTCTTGGTGCCACCACCACGCCAGCACCCAGCCACCACCACCTAGGTAGAGTTCCACCTTCTCGTGTTTCTGGTGCATGCAGAGGCTGAGGGACCCCCGGGCTCGCTCTGCTCCCCGCTCCCGCTACTCCCGGGGTTGGATCCCTTCGATTTCCCCTCTTCCTCTGCCTGCAGAGCTCCCAGAAGTGCGTGGGAGGTGACCCCAGCTGGGCACGGTGGCTGCATGCTCTGGGGAGGATGGAGACTCAAGGGAGGGGTTTAATCAGACCTCATTTTTCTGTCTTAGTTAATATTTTTTTTTCTTTTTTAAGAGACTGAACCCTTGAAATTCTTTCAGGAAGAGAACTCTGCTTCCTCCCTTTTCTTCCTCCTCGCTTTCCCCCACCCCTTTCCACAGGGGGAAGGTGGAGGTTTCAGAAATGCCCTCAAATAAAGGCTCCTTCCAGCACGTTCTGGGCAGAGAACGGGCACCAACCAGATCAAAACTGAGCCTTTTCCTCCCAAAATATTTCCTGGGCCAAGAAACCACCTTCCCCCTCACCCCGCATGGACGCTGCTCCTCTGCTGCTGCCGCTCTTGCTGGGGCCCTTTGCCACCCCAATATTGGGGTGCTGCTCCTCTCGGGGAGGAGGGCTCCCAAAAATCCCTAAAAAATCCCTGGCAGTGACTCCTCCCAAAAAATTCCTAAAAAATCCCTGGCAGTGACTCCAAGGGGGATAAAACCCTGCCCGTGAGGGGCCTGTTGAGCTTTTCACGGAGGGGAAGGAGCCCTCCTGGCACCCCCTGGAGCAGCGGGATGGGTGCCAGGCTGGCAGCGGGATCTGGTGCCAGGCTGGCAGAGGGATCTGGTGCCAGGCTGGCAGCGGGATCTGGTGCCAGGCCGGCAGAGGGATCTGGTGCCAGGCTGGCAGAGGGATCTGGTGCCAGGCCGGCAGCGGGATCTGGTGCCAGGCTGGCAGCGGGATCTGGTGCCAGGCCGGCAATGGGATCTGGTGCCAGGCTGGCAGCGGAGCTCTCACGCCCTGTCTGTGTCTCCCTCCCCGTTCTGTGCCCCACAGGTGATGGTGTGCTGGGTGCAGGAGCTGCCGGCGGGTAACGGGCAGCCCCTGTCTCCCCAGGCCGAGCACGCCGGCATCCGCACCTACTTCTTCAGCGCCGAGAACACGGAGGAGCAGGAGGCCTGGATCCAGGCCATGGGCGAGGCCGCCCGCGTGCAGATCCCCCCGAGCCAGAGGTCAGTGCCACCGCACTGCCCGGCCCTCCTGGGGACACAGTGCTGGCCTTGCTCCATGTCCAGGGACATTTTGGGGTGTGAGGGACACTCCAGAGAAGGGATTTGGGGGATCAGTGACCCCACAAGGTTCAGAGAGGGACAGGGCATTGCTCACTGGCCACCTCTTGACCCAGAGGTCAGTGGCACCGCACTGCCCGGCCCTTCTGGGGATGTGGTGCTGACCTTGCTCCATGCCTGGGGATATTTTGGGGTGTGAGGGACACTCCAGAGACAGGATTTGGGGGATCAGTGACCCCACAATGTTCAGAGAGGGATAGGGCATCACTGGCCACCCCCCGAGCCAGAGGTCAGTGCCCACTGCACTGCCCGGCCCTCCTGGGGACACGGTGCTGGCCTTGCTCCATGCCAGGGACATTTTGGGGTGTAAGAGAAGGGAAATGGGGGAATGGTGACCCCACAAGGTTCACTGTGGGGTCCAGGGTATTCCTGGCCACCCCTTGACCCAGAGGTCAGTGCCCACTGCACTGCCCGGCCCTTCTGGGGATGTGGTGCTGTCCTTGCTCCATGCCTGGGGACATTTTGGGGTGTGAAGGACACTCCAGATGAGGGAGCAGTGACCCCACAAGGTTCAGGGAGGGTCAGGGCATTCCTGGCCATCCCTCAACCCAACCCGGCCCTCCTGGGGACGCGGTGCTGTCCTTCCTCCAAGCCCAGGGACATTTTGGGGTGTGAGTGACACTCCGGAGAAGGGAGCTGAGGGATCAGTGACCCCGCAACGCTCAGGGAGGGACGGTGGCATTGCCAGCCACCCCAGGGGCACTGCCAGGCCTTGGTGACCCCTCTGTGGTGTGTCGGCACCCCCAGGCACGAGAAACCAGACTCGGAGAACATCCCTCCCAGCAAACACCACCACCACCACCACCACCACCACTGCAACGCCGCCCACCGCGAGCACCCCAAGGCCGAGCCCGACGCCAAGACCCGCGGCGAGGGCGACGGCCGCGGCTCGGAGAAGATGGAGCGGAAGCCGTCGGAGCGGGCGGACAGCAAGAAGGAACTTTTGGTCAAAGCCAACGGCCTCAGCGGGCAGGAGCCGCCCTCGGAACCGGGCAGTCCCTACCCCGAGGGTCCGCGTGGGCCGGTGAGCGCCGAGCGGCCGGCACAGCCCAACGGGTGGCCGTACCCCTCGCCCAGCCGGCCCGGCAGCACCGCCTTCCCCCCGGTGGGTGACGGTGAGAACGGGGCCCAGCGCCGCAGCGTTGTCCCCAGGTCCCACCCCGAGAAGGTGGCCCAGCGCAAGAGCTCCATGACGCAGCTGCAGCAGTGGGTGAACTCCCGCCGCGCCACCGCCGCCCCCGAGGAGCTGCGCAGGTGAGGGTGTGCCAGGATGCTCTAGGGTTGGTTCCTCTGGGAATGTTCTGCCTCTTCCCGTCTGCTTTGTGGCCTCCTAGGGGTCTGAAAATCTGATTTTTCTCCCTTTTTTCTTTCTCTCCCCGTGCCAACTTGGAGCTGGGTGTGGCACGTCCCAAAAAGCCAAAGAGGGTGGGTTGTTGAGAGGTGTCCCTGGGAGGAGGGAGGCCGGGATGGGGAAGCCACCACAGGGTCCTTTGGAGGAGGGATACAAGGACAGAAAGCCACCTCAGTGTCCCTGCAGGAGGGATACGAGGAGAGGAGACCACCACGAGATCCCAGAGAGGAGGAATTCCATGAGGAGAAGTTCCTGTGGAGTCCCTGGGATGAGAGATGCCAGGAGGGGAGGCCACCACGAAATCCCAGGGAGGAACTCCATGAGGGGAAGCTCCCATGGAGTCCCTGGGAGGTGGGATACTGAGACAAGAAGCCACCTCAGTGTCCCTGCAGGAGGGATACGAGGAGAGGAGGCCACCATGAGATCCCAGAGAGGAAGAATTCCATGGGGAAGGATCCCACAGAGCCCCTGGCAGGAGGAATTCCATGGGGGAAGGATCCCACAGAGCCCTGGCAGGAGGAATTCCATGGGGGAAGGATCCCACAGAGCCCTGGCAGGAGGAATTCCATAGGAGAAGGATCCCACAGAGCCCCTGGCAGGAGGAATTCCATGGGGAAAGCTCCCAGAGCCCCTGGCAGGAGGAATTCCATGGGGGAAGCTCCCAGAGGCCCTGGCAGGAGGAATTCCATGGAGGAGGGATCCCACAGAGCCCCTGGCAGGAGGAATTCCATGGGGGAAGGATCCCACAGAGCCCTGGCAGGAGGAATTCCATGGGGGAAGGATCCCACAGAGCCCCTGGCAGGAGGAATTCCATGGGGGAAGCTCCCAGAGCCCCTGGCAGGAGGAATTCCATGAGCACGGAACCCCTGGCGCGACAAACGCCACCCATCCAGCATTCCCACTATCCGAGCCACCTCCTCTCGGGTTGTCCTTGCCCACCCCGGGCACTGCCCACCCCCAGCCCGGCTCTCACCCCTCTCTCCCCCTCTCCAGCCCCACCAGGTTTTACCCGGTGTCGCGCCGGGTGCCCGATTATTACCCGCCCTACTCGCCGCAGTACCCCGAGGAGTACCAGTACTACCCGCCGGGCGTGCGCCCCGACAGCATCTGCTCCATGCCCGCCTTCGAGCGCGTCAGCCCGCCCTGGGCGCTGGAGGACAAACGCCACTCCTTCCGCAACGGGGGTCCCTTCCACGCCGCCTTCGGCCGCCAGGATGTCCCTCTGTGGCTGCCGGCGCCCGCCAGGCCGCCCGGCTACCTGGACGAGGTGGACGCGGCCTCGGGCTCGCTGCGGAGGATGTCGCTGCAGCCGCGCTCGCGCTCGGTGCCACGCTCGCCCAGCCAGGGCTCCTACGGCCGTGCCAGGGTCTACTCGCCCGTGCGCTCGCCCAGCGCCCGCTTCGAGCGGCTGCCGCCCCGCGGGGACGAGATTTACGCCGACCCCGCCGCCTTCGTGATGCGCAGATCCATCAGCTCGCCCAAGGTGGGCACCTGTGGGGCGGGGAGGTGGGGCAGGGGTGTGGCGGTGTCCCGCTGTGTCCCCTCTGTGTGCGCAGCCTGGCCGCAAAGCGCCACCGAGACCGTGGGGTGGGGCACGGGGGGCTTTGGGATCCCTGCTGCCGCCCTGGAATGTTCCCTGGTTGTGTTTGTTGGATGGGATGGGATGGGATCCATGGGATGGAACGGGATCTATGGGATGGGATCCATGGGATGGGATCCACAGGATGAGATGGGATGGGATGGAACGGGATCCATGGGATGGAACGGGATCCATGGGATGGAATGGGATCTATGGGATGGGATCCATGGGATCCATAAGATGGGATGGGATCCATGGGATGGGATCCATGGGATAGGATGGGATGGGATCCACAGGATGAAATGGGATGGGATGGAATGGGATCCATGGGATGCGATGGGATTCATGGGATGGGATCCATGAGATCCATGGGATCCATGGGATCCATAGGATGGGATGGGATCCATGGGATGGGAGGGGATGGGATCCATGGGATAGGATGAGATGGGATCCACAGGATGGGATAGGATCCACGGAACAGGATGGCATGAGATCCATGGGATGGCATGGGATCCATGGGACGGGACCATGGGATGGCATCCATAGGATGGCATGGGATCCATGGGATAGGATAGGATGGGATGGGATCCATGGGATAGGATGGAATCGATGGGATGGGATCCATGGGATCGAATCCATGGGATGTGGTGTTTTTAGAGGAAATTATGTGGAGCGTTTAGAGGAAAACCATGATTTTGCCAGTAGTTTTTGGAGGAAAACCTTGGAGGAAAACCCTGATTTTTGCCAGGGGGTTTTGGAGGAAAAATCCTGTGTTTGCCAGTCGTTTTTGGAGGAAAACTTTGGGACTCCAAGTTGTGCTCCCAAGCAGGGAGTGCCGATGCCCCCGTCCCTCTCCTGCCCCGTGTCCCTGATTTGGGGCTGGGGTCCCCTCTCTCCGCAGTACGATTACCTGGGTGACAGGCGGCCCGTCCCGGCCGGGGTGTACCCCTACCACTTCCCGGCGTCCCCCAGCATCCACGACAAAATGGTAGGTACCTGCTGTCCCCCGGGGGTGACCCTGTGACGGGGGGCACAGACCCCACCCCGGGGACACCGCGGGGCAGTTTGGGGGGCTCCTCACTCCGCTGGCCAAGGAGGAACCAGAGCACTGCAGGGGGAGCGTGCTGGGTCAGAGCTGGGCTTTTTGTTGGTGTCTCCACTCCCTCCTGGCCATTCCCAAAGAAATCCACATGGGAAGGCCCCTCTGTAGCAGTGGGACACCCTCGGACCCCCAGGGTGGTCCCTGGCTGAGTCCAGCACTCCCCAAACCTCTCCCGCTCTGCTTCCTCACATCTGGCCACAGCTGCTTTGTTCTCCCACCTCGTGTCCCCTCCCGGAGCTGGGGGGTGACACCGGGAGGTCCCCACAGATCCCAAAACCCTGTTACGGGACCGCCAGAGGTGGGAGAAGCCTGAATTTCACCACAGCCCAGCCATGCCGCCCATCCATGCCCGCAGCCAGAGGCTGGCTCTCCTTAGAAATAAAAAGAGAAATACGAAATCAGCTGCCCAGGGTCCTCAGGGCACATTCCCAGCAGCATTCCCAGCCCGGGGGCCATTCCACAGGCTCCCCCCTAACCGCTTTGCTTCTTCTTTTATGTGTTTCGCTGCTCGTTTCTTGCCCTGCTGGCTCCTGGTAGGATGAACTTTTAGACCTTCAGTTGCAAAGAAACCTAGAATATTTGGACCAGCAGGTAGGCGGAGCTGGCTGCCAGCCTCACCTCACCAGCTGCTTCTTGTCCCCTCCCCGTGTGTCCCTGTCCCCTCCTGCCATCCATCCTCACCCCTCCGACCATCCCAGCAGCATCCCAGCAGCACCAGCTCTATTTTATTTTTATTTTTGGTTTGGCTTCTTCCATCCTCCGCATCCGTAGGGCCGCTCATGGCTCGGCAGAAAAGTCACCCCCCGCCCCCTCCAACCTCTGGCAGTGCCTCTGTGTGGTTGTTTTGGGGGGAGTTTTTGGGGTTTTGGGGCACATTCCAAATATTGTCCTGGAGCTCAGGGGGTGCAGCAGCTCTGGAAAATCACAGGTCGGTGCCAGCAGGGCCGGGCTGTCCCCAAGGCTGTCCCCAAGGCTGGCACCCTTTGCCTGGGGTGTCCCCTGTGCCAGGGGTGGCAGGTGACCTGTGGGGACCGTGGTGATGTGGTGGCCCCTCGGGGGTGAAAGGTTTGGTGCAGGTGGGCACCAAAACCCAAAAGGCAGCAGATCTCAGGTGGTTCTGGAGAGGTTTTTGGAGGAAAATCTTGGTTTTCAATGGGGTTTATTGAGGAAAATCTTGGTTTTTGATGGGGTTTATTGAGGAAAATCTTGGTTTTGCCAGGGTTTATCAAGGAAAATCTTTATTTTTCCAGGGTTTATTGAGGAAAATCTTGATTTTTCCAGGGTTTTTGGAGGAAAACCTTGATTTTGAACCGGGTTTATAGAGGAAAATCTTGATTTTTGACAGTGGTTTTTGGAGGAAAACCTTGGAGGAAAACCTTGATTTTTGCCAGGGGTTTTGGAGGAAAATCCTGGATTTGCCAGCAGTTGTTGGAGGAAACCTTAATTTTGATAGGGTTTTTGGAAGAAAACCCTGGTTTTGCCAGGGGGTTTTGGAGGAAAACCCTGGAATGAAAACCATTACTTTGTGTGGTATTTTTGGAGGAAAACCCTGATTTTGCCAGGAATTTTTTAAGGAAAACCCTGTAAGGAAAACCATGATTTTATGTAGTGCTTTTGGAGGAAAACCCTGATTTTGCCAGGATATTTTTGAGGAAAACCCTGGAAAGAAAACCATGATTTTACGTGATGATTTTGGAGGAAAACCCTGATTTTTCCAGCAATTTTTGGAGGAGAAAACCACCGTGACTCCATCCCAGGAGCGTGAGGAGGGGGGATCCAGCCAGGAGAGCCCCCACTGATGCCCCCAGGCAGCGTCTGAAGCCTCAGCCGGGCACAGGAGCCGCGGCCAGGCTGGCACTGGGGGAGCTGCTCCCGTTTGGCTGCAAATCTCTGGGATCTGTGTCCGCCTTGGAGCGGGACCAGGAGCTCTGGCTGCAATAAAAGCTCCTCGGCAATAAAAGCCTCTCCGCAGCTCTTTAAAACGCTCCCTAAAAAGGTTTGGCATCTCCTCCTCCTCCTCCTCCTTCTCCTCCTCCTCCTCCTCCTCCTCCTCCTCCTCTCGCAGTGGCCTCTGGAGAGGTTAATTCAGAGTGACGCTGTCAGGAGCCTCTTTTCAAACATCTCCTCCTCTGTTTGCTCTCTCCTTCCAGCCCCAGCAGGGTTTTGTCACCCCGCTGTGGTGGCAAAGTGTTGTCACCTTTGGGATTTCAGCTGGGGTGTCCTGCTCTGGGGTGAGCTTGAGTGGCTTTGTCACCCGGCACCGAGGGAGCTCGGTCGCCGCTGGCGGCGTGGGGACAGTCCTGTCCCCGTGGAGCAGAGCAGGGATGTGCCATTCCCGGTGCCACCTGGAAACGGGGACGCTGCTGTCCCCAACCCCACCTCCCCATCACCAAGAGTTCATTTGCAGGGCCATGCCAGCCCCGGCTGGGCACGGAGCCACCAGGCCTGTCCGTGTGTCCGTCCGTGCTGCCGTCCCTGTCCGAGCTCGTGTCCGTCTGTGCCATCTGCTCCCAGCCGGCTCTGTTTGATCCGTGTTTTCCCCCCAAAAAAGCGTGCTAAAAGGAGCAACAGCAGCTCTGAGGCCACGGCTGGAGCCCCCAGGCCATCTCAGGAGGTGGCACTTTGCATCCTGACGGCTCCTGGATCTGTCACCGCTGGCACAGGCGCCATGTCCCCGCTGACCTGTGCAATTTCCTTCCCTGTGTGCCGCAGATGAGCGAGAGCGAGACCCTCATCACTATGGTGAACAGGATGGTGGAGACCTCCTCCCCTAGGGCCCAGCTCTACATGCAAGTAAGGCTCTGGCCACCTCCTGCCACCCGGGGTCACCTCCTGCCACCGGGGTCACCTCCTGCCATCGCCACTCACGCAGCAGCCGCAGCATCCGGCACATCCCGCTCTCGCTCTCGGGGGACGCGCTGCTCCATCCCAGGCTTTGCTAATCCATCCATGAGCCATCCCAAGCTGGCAAATCCTCGTGCTGGGCAGCGCGAGGTGGGCACGGAGCTGCCCCGGGACTCTGGGGGCGGAGATGGCACGGGGATTGTCAGACGGAGCTGTCCTGGGGATTCCTGGGGATGGAGCTGTCCCGGGATTCCTGGGGACTGAGCTTTCCCAGGGACTCTTGGGGACAGAACTGTCACAGGGATTCTTGGGGACGGAGCTTTCCCAGGGACTCTTGGGGACAGAGCTGTCACAGGGATTCTTGGGGACAGAGCTGGCCCAGGGATTCTCCAACAGAGCTGTCCCAGAGATTCTTGGGGACGGAGCTGTCCTGGGAATTCTTGAGGATGGAGTTATCCTGGAGATTCTTGGCAATGGAGCTGTTCTGGGGACTCTTAGGGACAGAGCTGGACTGGGGATTCTCCAACGGAGCTGCCCCGGGGATTCTGTGATGGAGCTGTCCTGGGGACTCTTGGAGATGGAGCCGTCCTGGAGACTCTTGGGCATGGAGCTGTCCCAGGAATTCTTGGGGATGGAGCTGTCCTGGGGATTCTCGGACAGAGCTGTCTCCAGGACTCTTTGGGACAGAGCTGTCATGGGGATTCTTGGGCACGGAGCTGGCCTGGGATTCTCAAACAGAGCTATCCCTGGGACTGTTTGGGGACGGAGCTGTCCCGGGGATTCTCCGACAGAGCTGGCCCGGGACTCTTGGGGACAGAGGTGTTACAGGGATTCTCGGATTGAGCTGTCTCTGGGACTTTTCAGGACAGAGTTGCCCTGGGGGACTCTTGGGCACAGAGCTGTCCCAGGAATTCTTGGGGACGGGGACTCTTGGGGATGGAGCTGTTCCCAGGACTCCTAGGGACAGAGCTGGCCCGGGGATTTTTGGGGACAGAGCTGGCCCAGGGATTCTCCAACGGAGCTGCCCCGGGACTCTTGGGGACAGAGCTGCCCTGGGGAACTCTTGGAGACAGAGCTATCACAGGGATTCTTGGGGACAGAGCTGTCCCAGGGACTCCCAGACACGCAGGGCTTGGGTCGTCCTTATTTTTCAAGGAGAAGTTGTGGGGTGACAGAAATACAGCTCTTAAACCAGGAATAATTCCTGGAACAGGGACAGGGAACGGCCTTTCCGCCACCCCCGGAGGCTCCTTCTGTCCCCAGCACTGGGACATCCCTACAATGCCACATGGCTTGAGCCCCCCCCGGTGCCCCCCACCCTGGGTTGTGCTGCCCTGGGCAGTTCCTGGATGGGATTTTCCAACAAAAACGGCGCCTGTTTGCATCTGCTGCCAGCAGGGATGTGCTGGAGGGTGAATCTGGAGCTCCCGGGATGCTCCTCCGGCTGGCCGGGCTCCCTGCCCGGAGGCCGCCTCATCCCGATCCGCCCGGCTCTGCTTCCAGCCCCGCGGGCATTTCCCAGATCCGGATCCATTTGCATCATCCCGGAGTTTTAAATGGCTCCAAAGTGCCCTCTCTGCTTTCCAGCAATATCCATCCCCTCCTGCCTATCTCCTGCCTTTCATCTCCGGCTCCTGGAGGCACTTAATTGCTGAAGGTCCCATTAGTAATTGAGATTTCCAGGAAAGGAAAATGACTCACGAAGGAGCCAGGCGGGGGTAAACAGGCCCTGCTGCTGCTTTATGGGTGCTCCCAGGTGGGAGGTGGAATTACAGCTCCATCGCGCTGCCTTTGTGCTCCCCGCCGCTGGTAAATGATTCACGAGGCAGCTCCTCAAACTCCGCGCGGAGCTTTGTCCCTGGATCCTTCCCGCTGGGAATGAGCGGGGAGAGGTTGTGGCTTCATCCCAGAGACTCCCGGCTGATGGGGTGTTCGAGGCAGGACGGGAATGAAGGGACTCTGACTCAGAAGCTGCTGAGAGTAAAACTCCGATTTATTCAAAATACACTGCTCTTTTATACAGAGCTTCGTGAGGGCCAACTCCATTGGTTCAATGGAAAAAAACTGAGAGTAAAACTCTGATTTATTCAAAATACCCCACTCTTTTATACAGAGCTCCGTGAGGACCAACTCCATCACTGAAGTGAAAACAACTCACCCCATTGGTGTACAGTGCTTGATGCACAGTGCTAGAACTTAACTATAAACAATGTGACCAACAAGAGAGATAAAGAATTATTTACATTCTTCTCCAGCTCTTTCCCAGGCTTCTGCCTGGCTAGAAATTCTTGGTTTCTTTCTTTGACTGAATCTGAGACCCACACTGGGGAGCATCCATCGCCTCCAGGGCTCGGCTCTCGCCTCCTCCTTTTCCCGGCTCGCAGGGAGGGGCTGGGAGCTGCCTCCCCTTCCTTCCCGGGCATCCCGCGGAGAGCCGCGCTCACCGCTCGCTCTGCTTGCAGGTGACGCCGTTCCCGGAGCCCTACAGGGACACCCTGCACCCCTACAAGATCAGCGAGCAGGACACCGATGTAAGAGCCAATCCTCTGTCCCCTCTCTGTGTCCCCTAGGCCGGTCGCTTTGTGCCCCTCAGGGATAAATCCTCCCGTGAATTTAGGTCTTGTGCCATCTCCCAGTTTGTCCCGTGTCACCCCAAAGTCCCTGCAATGACAGCAGGAGTTTGGAAACCTCCCCTAGAACCATAAATCCCATCAATCCCATCAATCCTGGCTGCATCCCAGTGGGATTCTCATCCTCCACCCCCCCTTTCTCTTCCCCCCGGCGCAGAAGCTGCTGGGGAAGCTCTGCGAGCAGAACAAGGTGCTGCGGGAGCAGGAGAGGCTGGTGCAGCAGCTCCGGGCTGAGAAGGTACGTGGTGGCACCTCAGGTGGCACCTCAGGTGGCCACGTGGGGACTTGGGACGTGGTGGCACCTCAGGTGGCACCTCAGGTGGCCACGTGGGGACTTGGGACATGGTGGCACCTCAGGTGGCCACGTGGGGAGCTGGTGGTGGCACCTGCCTGGTGAAGTGACGTCACCACGGGAGGATTTGGGTTGAACCTGGACATCCAGGTGTGTGTGTGTCACCCTGTCACCTTAACCTGGACATTTAGGGGTGTGTGTGTGTGTGTCACCCTGTCACCCTTAACCTGGACATTTAGGTGTGTGTGTGTCCCCTGCCACCTTTAACCTGGACATCCAGGTGTGTGTCACCCTGTCACCCTTAACCTGGACATCCAGGTGTGTGTGTGTCACCCTGTCACCCTTAACCTGGACATTTAGGCGAGGTGTCACCCTGTCACCTTTAACTTGGATATCCAGGTGTGTGTGCGTGTCCCCTGCCACCCCTGAACCAGGTGATCAAGTCCCCTGCCACCCCTGGCTTAAGGGACATTAAAAACATCTCGTTCCCCCCCTGAGTTGCTATCCCAAGTTCTCCAGCCTGGCTTTGGCCACTTCCAGGGATGTGACAGCCACAGCTTGGGGACATTTCTGAGCTGGGGGAGACTCCTGGTGTGTTACTGAGCAGCCAGGACCTCGTGGCTCCATCTGTCCCCGCAGGAGAGCCTGGAGAGTGCCCTGATGGGGACACACCAGGAGCTGGAGATGTTTGGCAGCCAGCCCGCCTACCCGGAGAAGCTGCTGCACAAGAAGGAATCGCTCCAGAACCAGCTCATCAACATCCGGGTGGAGCTGTCCCAGGCCAGCACGGTGAGGGGCGGGACTCGGGTCCCTTTTGTCCCTTCCTGGATGGAAAACGAGCAGAGAATTCCCCTTGGCTGCCTGGGGACTGAAGTCCCTCACTGGTGCCAAAGTAGGCGCCCTGCAGGTGCCACCTCAGCTCCTAGTTCTGTCTCTGCCGTGCCCCGGGCACCTCAGAGCTTGTCCCCTCTGGTGCCACCCCCTCCCTAACTCGGGGGGCTGTGCTGGGTGTCAACGACCCCCCTGATCCCCCCCCCGCTGTCCCCTCAGGCCCTGGCAAACAGCACAGCCGAGTACGAGAGCCTGGAGAGTGAAGTGTCCACCCTGCACGATGACCTCTGGGAGCAGCTCAACCTGGACATCCAGGTGAGTGTCCCCTGTCACCTTCAACTGGGACATCCAGGTGTGTGTGTGTCCCTGTCACCTTTAACCTGGACATCCAGGTGTGTGTGTGTCCCTGTCACCCCTAACCTGGACATACAAGTCAGAGTGTCCCCCTGTCACCCCTAACCTGGACATCCAGGTGTGTGTGTGTCCCCTGTCACCTTTAACCTGGTCATCCAGGTGTATGTGTGTCCCTGTCACCCCTAACCTGGACATCCAGGTGTGTGTGTCCCTGTCACCTTTAACCTGGACATCCAGGTGTGTGTCCCCTGTCACCTTTAACCTGGACATCCAGGTGTGTGTGTCACCCTGTCACCCTTAACCTGGGCATCCAGGTGTGTGTATCCCTGTCACCCCTAAACTGGACATACAGGTGTGTGTGTCCCCGTCACCTTTAACCTGGACATCCAGGTGTGTGTGTGTCCCTGTCACCCCTAACCTGGACATCCAGGTGTGTGTGTGTCCCTGTCACCCTTAACCTGGACATCCAGGTGTGTGTGTGTCACCCTGTCACCCTTACCCTGGGTATCCAGGTGTGTGTGTGTCCCCTGTCATCTTTAACCTGGACATCCAGGTGTGTGTCACCCTGTCACCCTTAACCTGGACATCCAGGTGTGTGTGTGTCCCTGTCACCCTTAACCTGGACATCCAGCTGTGTGTGTGTCCCTGTCACCCCTAACCTGGACATCCAGGTGTGTGTGTGTCACCCTGCCACCCTTAACCTGGACATCCAGGTGTGTGTGTCCCTGTCACCCCTAACCTGGACATCCAGGTGTGTGTGTCCCCGTCACCTTTAACCTGGCCACCCAAGTCCCCTGCCATCCCTGAGGTCCCCATGGAGATGAAATCCCCCACCCATGATTCTCCATGCCCACCCCTCTCACCCAGCTTTGGCCACCGTGGGCACTTGGGTGCCACCGAGGGTGGCAGCCCCACATCGCCGCAGCTGCCCCAGCCCCGGTGGGCTCTGGGAGCAGATCCCGGGATTCCAGCAGGATAAATCCCTGGATGTGGCAGCTCAGCCCCACCCCGTTCCCGTGGGTGGGTTTGGGGACGGGCTCAGCCCGGTTTGGGGTTGGCACCGGTGCCCCCGGGGCCCCTCCGAGCGCTGCCGTTCCCCCGTCCAGAACGAGGTGCTGAACCGGCAGATCCAGAGGGAGATCTGGCGGATCCAGGACGTGATGGAGGGGCTGAGGAAGAACAACCCCTCCCGAGGCACCGACACGGCCAAGCACCGAGGTGAGGGGGGCTGTCCTGCTCAGCGGGATGAAAACCCCCGTTATTATCTTTAATTACCTTTAACGATCCGCAATGATCTCATTCCTCCGCAGTGGCGCTGGGCCCCTCGGGCACGTACAGCTCCAACAGCCCTGCCAGCCCCCTGAGCTCTGCCAGCCTCACCAGCCCCCTGAGCCCCTTCTCCCTCATCTCCGGCTCCCAGGGATCGCCCACCAAGCTGGGCCCTGGCGAGGTCAGTGACCCTGCTGTCCCCTCTTTGTCACCAGCGGGGGTGGCAGGCTGCTGGGCACGGAGCACGGAGCTGCCTCCCCTGGTGGCACCGTTTTGGTGACATGGATGGGCCCTGGTGTCACCTGGTGACTTTGGGGTCCTTGCAGGGTGTGGGTCCGGAGGGACGGGAGTTGCTGAGCTCCAGGAGCAGCTCCTGGTGTGTCTGAGCGCCCTCCCCCAGTGCTGCTGTCACCTTCACGAGCAGGACATTTATTTAGGGTGCAATTTGGGGATCCCCAACCCCGCCTGGCTGCACAGAGGTGACACCAGTGCCCGCAGGAGCTGCCTTCACTCCGACAGCCCCGAAGCCCTGCCTGGCCCTGGGGACAAGCAGCAGGATGTGGGACACCAAGAGGCACATCTTCTCCTCCTCCATCCCTCCCTCCAGGACGCTTCCCACCGTGTTTCTCTCTTTTCTAACTCTCTCTTCCTTCTCTGCTCTCACGCCTCCCGCTCCTGCCCGCCCCAGGAACCAGGCCCGCCTCGACCTCCCCTCCCCAAGTCCTACGTGCCCCTGGAGTCTCCTCCGGCCGTTCCTCCGCTCCCCAGCGAGAGCCGCCTCTGGCCCTACCCCGCCTCCCCTTCCTGGCACCAAGGAGAGGCCAAGCGGGGACAGGTACCGAACCCTGCGGCCGCCGCCGCCTTCCTCCTCCTCCTCCTCCTCCTCGTGGCATGGAAGGCGCTGGGATGAGGCAGGAGCAGGAGCTGCGCGCCCCAAATCTGCGGGGACAGCGCGGAGGTGGCGCTTGACGAGGGGACAGCTCCGCGTCCTGCAGCCCTGCCACACCCCTGGTGTCCCCAGCCCTGTGCGCGCTCAGGACAGGGATTGTCCCCCCCTCTTCCTTCTCCTTCTCCTCCTTCTCCTGGGGAGGTTGTCCCTGGTTGTCCCCTCTGCTTTGCTCTGCCTCTGTCACTGTCCTTCCGCGTCACCTCTCCGAACCCCCAGCTCCGGGCCAAACCTGGATTTGGGAATTCCTGGTGACAGCTTGGTGCCGTGTGTGGGGACACAGGTGGCACGAGTGTCCTCACGGTGGGCTGGCACGTGTCACTGTGGAAAAGCACGGCGTGGCTGTGCCGAGCCGGGAAGGGGCACAGTGCCAGCGCAGGTGGCACTTCCAGCTGCCGTGGGTGGCACAGCGGTGGCTGTGTGTCACCCACGGGTGTCAGGGTGGATTTAGGGGAACACACCCCCTGCTGGGCCTGTTGTCACACCCCTCTGTCACCCCAGCAGTTCCCGTGGGATGAAGAGGGGAAGGAGCCCAGAAATGTCCCTTTGCTGGCTCCCCTGCCCCTCTGTGCCCCCACGGGCACGGGGTGCGGTGGGACCCCAGCACAGAGCCAGGATGTCCCTGTCCCCAGCTCCTGTGGGCTGTGGAGGGATTGTCACCCTGCAGGAACCTTTGTCCCTCCCTGTGGGTGCCCAGCCCTGGCAGGACGGGACACAGCAGGGACAGGAGCAGAGCCCCCTCGGCTGCTCTCCCCACAATTTTGGGGTGCTCTGGTCCCACCTGGCCGCTGTCCGTGTGTCCATGGAGGGTGTCCGTGGTCTGGCTGTCACCCCAAGAGCAGCGGGTGTCCCTTGTGTGTCCCTGATCTGTCACCCCCAGAGCAGTGGATGTCCCCTGTCCATGTGTCCCTGATATGTCACCCAAAGAGCAGGGGGGTGTCCTTTATGTGCCCCTGATTTGTCACCCCAAGAGCAGCGGGTGTCCCCTGTCAGTGTGTCTGTGGTCTGTCTGTCACGCCTGTCAGGGTGTCCCCTGTCTGTGTGTCCCCTGTCTGTCACCTGAAGAGCAGCGGGTGTCCCTTATGTGTCCCTGATTTGTCACCCAAAGAGCAGCGGGTGTCCCTTGTGTGTCCCTGGTTGTCACCCCCAGAGCAGTGAGTGTCCCCTGTCCATGGGCTGTCTGTCACCCCTGTCAGGGTGTTCCCTGTCTGTGTGTCCCCTGTCTGTCACCCCTGTCAGGGTGTTCCCTGTCTGTGTGTCCCCTGTCTGTCACCCCCAGAGCAGCAGGTGTCCCCTGTCCATGTGTCCCTGATCTGTCACTCCTGTCAGGGTGTCCCCTGTCCGTGTGTCCTCTGTCTGTCACCCCTGTCAGGGTGTCCCCTGTCTGTGTGTCCCCTGTCTGTGTCCCCTGTCCGTGTGTCCCCTGTCTGTCACCCCCAGAGCAGCAGGTGTCCCCTGTCCATGTGTCCCTGATCTGTCACCCCTGTCAGGGTGTCCCCTGTCCGTGTGTCCCTGATCTGTCACTCCAAGAGCAGCGGGTGTCCCCTGTGTGTCCCTGATCTGTCACCCCTGTCAGGGTGTCCCCTGTCCGTGTGTCCCCTGTCTGTCACCCCCAGAGCAGCGGCTGTCCCCAGGCACAGCATGGCCCGGGGCAGGACTGGGGCTCACTGGGGACCTTTTTCCCCCCGCTCAGCCCAAACCAGGCCCGGAGCAGAGCAAGAAGGAGCCCCCCCGGCCCAGCCCCCCCGGCCCCAGCCCCGAGGGGCTCCCGCAGGCCCGGCCCGAGCACGACGGCGACAAACAAGCGGCTCTCAACAAGGGTATGGCACTGGGGACACCCAGCAGCACCCCGGGGTGGCACTGGGACCCTGCCCAGGTCCCCAAGGGTTCATCCTGGTGTCGTGGTGTCCCCGCAGTGGGAATCGTCCCCCCCAGGACCAAATCTCCGGCGGAGGACGAGGCGGTGCCCAGGAGGAACGGCCTGGCCAACGGGCTCAGCTCCCGGGTAGGGCTGGGCTGGGGGGGCTGGGTGAGCCCAGGGGGGCTCTGCTGCAGCCTGGGGACAGGAGTGTGGCTCTGTGTGTCACCATCCACCTCCTGGAGACCCCCAGGGGGGATGGAGCACCTTCCCCGCTGCTGGGAGTGACATCTCGGGGGTGACATCCGGGGGGTGACATCCCAGGAGTGACATCCCAGGGGTGGCATCCCGGGGGTGCCGTCCCGGGGGTGACATCTCGGGAGTGACATCCTGGAGGTGACAGCCCTAGGGTGACACCTCGGGGGTGACATCCTGGGAGTGACAACCTGGGGGTGACATCTTGGGGATGACATCTTGGGGGTGACATCCCGGGATTGACATCCCAGGGGTGACATCCCAGGAATGCCATCCTGGGAGTGACAACCCGGGGGTGGCGTCCCGGGTGTGACACATCCCAGCAGCTCACGGCACAGCAGTGTGGCACTGGGAGGGTGTGACCGGCCACCTGTGGGTGACCGTGAGGCCGGACTCACCCCCAGGAGAGACCCAAGAGCGCCGTGTTCGCCACCGAGACCAAGGTGAAGATGAGCGTGGAGGAGCAGCTGGACCGCATGAAGCGCCACCAGAGCGGCTCCATGAAGGAGAAGCGGCGCAGCCTGCAGCTCCCCGCGCCCCAGCCCGACACCCCCGGCACCAAAACCCCCTCCTCCTACAAGGTGGTGAGTCCTGAGCCCGGCATGGGGGCGGCGGGGACACCGCGGGGTGGCACGGGTGACACCTCGGTGGCGGAGGTGACACGGGGCGCGGTCGCTGGCAGGTGCGGCGGCACCGCAGCATCCACGAGGTGGACATCTCGGACCTGGAGGCCGCGCTGCGCTCCGACGAGCCCGGCAAGGCGTACGAGACGCCGCAGGAGGAGATCGCCCGGCTGCGCAAGATGGAGCTGGAGCCGCAGCACTACGAGGTGGACATCAACAAGGAGGTGATCACGGCATGTCCCCGAGTGTTCCTGGGGTGTCCCCCAGAGCTGTGTCTGGGCTCTTGGGGTGAGCAGGGCGGGCTGGAGACCCCAGGGTCCAGCTCAGCTCGTGCCGCTGTCCCCAGCTGTCCACGCCGGACAAAGTCCTGATCCCCGAGCGCTACGTGGAGCTGGAGCCCGAGTCGCCCCTCAGCCCCGAGGAGATGAAGGAGAAGCAGAAGAAGGTGGAAAGGATCAAGACTCTCATTGCCAAATCCAGGTGAGGCTGCAGCGCCATGCCAGGGGTCATCCTGAGGGGGAACTGACCACCCACCTGCAACCTGCACCGCTTCCCTGGGCACCCTGAGGGGCACTGAGCACCCACCTGCAACCTGCACCGCTTCCCTGGGCACCCTGAGGGGCACTGAGCACCCACCTGCAACCTGCACCGCTTCCCTGGGCACCCTGAGGGGCACTGAGCACCCACCTGCAACCTGCACCGCTTCCCTGGGCACCCTGAGGGGCACTGAGCACCCACCCCTTCCCAGCCCATCCTGAGCAGAGCTGACCACTCACCTTCATCCCTCCCCTGGGCACCCTGAGGGGGAACTGACCACCCACCTGCAACCTGCACCGCCCACCCTGTTCCATGGGCACCCTGAAGGGCACTGACCACTCACCTCCATCCCTTCCCTGGTCATTCTGAGACCACCCACCCACCTCCACCCCTTCCCCACCCATCCCAGAGTACCCTACCACCCCTCTCCTCCCATCCCATCCCATCCCATCCCATCCCATCCCATCCCATCCCATCCCATCCCATCCCATCCCGGGGGTCCTGGCAGGGGTGCTGACCCCCGGTGCTGTTCCCAGCCTGCAGAACGTCATCCCCCTGGGCGAGGGGGAGGTGGACACCCCGCAGGACCCTGAGGTGCAGCTGCAGGAGCAGGAGAAGAGGATCGAGATCTCCTGCGCCCTGGCTGCCGAGGCCTCGCGCCGCGGCCGGATGCTCTCGGGTGAGGAACGGGGGCTTGGAGGGCCAGACCCTTGGAGGGGTGAAGGTTGGGTAGCACGGTGAGGAGACAATGGGCGGGACAGGGGGAAAGGTGATGCCAACAGCTCCCGGGCCTGCCTGCCACACCTGGGGCTGCCCACCCCGAGATCCTGGGATGGAGCTGGCATTCCAGCCGGGCACAGCTTCCAGCACGAGCGTGGGAGTGCCTGGATGGGTGGCATGAGGTGGCATGAGGTGGCAACAGAGTGGCTGAGCAAGCACGGTGGCACTCCACGCAGGAAATTGTGGTGTCACCCCGTGCCAGAGGGATTGTGGTGGCATGGGCCGGCACCTTGTGGCCGTGCATGGTGGTGCTTCGTGCTGCGGGGGGATTGTGGTGGCACCTCCACCTGGCTGACCACTGTGCCACGCCGTGCCTTGTCCATGAGGAGCCCTGCCGGGAGCTCACGTGTGCGTGCTGTGCCCAGATGTCACTCTGTCCTTCCTGCCAGCTGTGGCTCTGCCCTGCCAGCTGTGGCTGTTTGTTCTGCCAGCTGTAACTCTGCCCTACCAGCGCTTGCTTCCCCCCTTTCCTTTCTCTTTCCCCCCTTCCCCTGCCCAGCCCCGCTGTCCCCTCCTCGCTGTCCCCTCGGCGCTGTCCCCTCTCTGTCCCCACCTCTCTGTCCCCTCCTCGCTGTCCCCTCCGCTGTCCCCTCCGCTCTGTACCCACCTCGCTGTCCCCTCGGTGCTGTCCCCTCCTCTCTGTCCCCTCCGCTCTGTCCCCTCCTCGCTGTCCCCCCCTCGCTGTCCCCCCCTCACTATCCCCCCCCTCGCTATCCCCCCCTCGCTGTCCCCTCCTCGCTGTCCCCTCGCTGTCCCCTCGGCGCTGTCCCCACCTCGCTGTCCCCTCGCTGTCCCCTCCGCTCTGTCCCCCCCTCGCTGTCCCCCCTCGCTGTCCCCTCGGCGCTGTCCCCTCTCTGTCCCCTGTCCTTCAGTGCCCTCTCCCGTTTCTCCTTTCCAGCTCAGTGTGCCACCCCCAGCCCTCCCTCCTCCCCGGCCTCCCCGGCTCCTCCGGCCGAGCCGCCCCGGGCCGACAGCAGCCACCTCATGCGGGTGTGAGCCTGTGACGTAAGCACCTTTCTCTCTGACGTCATCCCCTCGCTGCCACGTCAGCCCCGGCTCCTCCATGGACCGAACCCCCCCCGAGGCCAAGGGGCCGTGCAGGGTGGGAAAAGGGGGGCCCAGCATGACAACCGAGGGGTCCTCCCACCCTCCCCCGGCTCCCCGGAGCCCAATCCCGGCCGCGTTCCCCACGGGGGGTGGGCGCGGGGTGGAGCCCCCCCAGCTCAGCCCCTCTGTCCTGTCCCCCCCCCTGCCCAGCTCAAGCCCTGGCTGCTGCCGGCGCCACCAAGTTCCACGGGGCCACGTTTTAGTCCCCTCCTGAGGTGACACCGAACCTCGCGCCACCACCCTCGGTTCTCCCGGACCCCCTTCCCTCCCTGCGGCGGCGACACCAGCGGGAGATGTGGCACCGGCGGGAGCCCCGAGGAGGCGGGAGGGGGCCGGGCTTGTCCCCGAGGAGCCCCCAGGGCTGTCAGTGGCCACCGGGTGACACCCGGACAGCTGTGACAGCGGCCGCAAGGACACACCCCGACAGATGTGACAGCGGCCACCAGGACAGATGTGACAGTGGTCACCAGGACATCCCCAAACAGCTGTGACAGCGGCCACAGGAACACACTCGGACAGCTGTGACACTGGCCACCAGGACATCCCCAAACAACTGTGACAGTGGCCACAGGGACATCCCCAAACAGCTGTGACAGCGGCCACAAGGACAGATGTGACAGTGGTCACAGGGACATCCCCAAACATCTGTGACAGTGGCCACGGGGACATCCCCAAACAGCTGTGACAGCAACCACAAGGACACACCCGGACAGATGTGACAGCGGCCACCAGGACATCCCCAAACAACTGTGACAGCGGCCACAAGGACAGCTGTGACAGTGGCCACCAGGACATCCCCAAACAGCTGTGACAATGGCCACAGGGACATCCCCAAAATGCTGTGACAGCAGCCACAGGAACACACATGGACAGATGTGACAGTGGCCTCCAGGACATCCCCAAACAGCTGTGACAGCGGCCACAAAGACACACCTGGACAGCTGTGACAGTGGCCACAAGGACACACATGGACAGATGTAACAGTGGCCACAGGGACATCCCCAAACAGCTGTGACAGCGGCCACAAGGACACATCAGCTGTGACAGTGGCCACAGGGACACAGCCGGACACCTGTGACAGCGGCCACCAGCCCAGTGGCGAGCACAGGACTCCTGGGACAGCCCCCCGAGGTCTGTGACGGGGCTCTCGGGGTGGGGACCCGCCTGTCCCCACCACGGACGGTGCTGCCACCTCCCAGCAGACCTGGGTGCCCCTCCCTGAGCTCTGATTTTGGAGCCCGTCTGTGTCACCGCCCGTGGCTCGGCCGGAGGAAGAGGGGACAGGGAGGTGGCACTGGGGGGACACCGAGGTGCCCAAGGGCTCTCCAAGCTGGGCAGGGATGGGGACGTGGGATGGGGCAGGGCAGGGAATTGAGGTGCCAGGCGGGATGAAGGAGCTGTGGGGTCACCAGGGACCCCCTCTGGAGGGTCGGGGTGGCGCTGAGGAGGGGTTTGGGGACAGCGGGGTCACCTGGGGACCCGCTGCCACCCTCCAAAAATCCCTTCCCGCGGCTCTCCAGCCCCTTCCAGCGGTTCGGATTTCCTGTAGCAAATTCCCCCTTTTCTTTATCGTCCTGGAGGGTGGGGAAGAAGCAGAATCCCTGAATTCTGATTCTAGCAGGGCGGACAGAGCCAGGAGCTGGATCCCAAATCCCAAATCCCAAATCCCAAATCCCAAATCCCAAATCCCAAATCCCAAATCCCAAATCCCAAATCCCAAATCCCATCCATCCCTCCTGACCCCATCCCAAACCCCCGGGGCCTCTCTGCATCCCAATCCCAATTTAGCAATACTTGTAGGATCCCTGGAGCCCCAAATCCCAAACCTCCCTCAGCCCCTTTAGCTCATAAAGCTGGCCCTTTATTTTGCTATTTACATGCCTTAATATATGTTTGATGGAAATTCTACATTTATAATATATATCTATATTTGGTTTTCCTCTTCTTTTCCCGGGAAAAAAAGCTTGTGCCGAGCTCTCTCTTCTCCACAGGATTTGTTGGCGCCAGCCCCACCAGAAAAAAAAAAAATATTCTTTGCCAATTTATCAGAGGGGGAAGAAAATAAAAAAAAACAAACTAAAAAAAAACCCAAAAAAAGAAGAAGAAAAAACAAAAGGAAAAAAAAACTATTTAAAAAATATATCTATTTTTTCTGCTTTTATTAAAAGCAAATTTATTTAAAATAAAATATACAGAGACTGTAAGTTTGAAGAGAGGATGAGTTTATTTCCCTGTGTCCCCTCTGAGGTCACTGGGGCAGACCCCCCCCTTCCTCTGGGGACACCTTGGGGACATCCTGGGGTGGCTGTGGGGCAGCAATTCCCATCTCCGGGACCCAAAGCTCCCATCCCGCCCTTCCCAAAGCCACCAGCTGCTGTCCCCAAGCTGTGACCCGGCCGCGATTTTATTTTATTTAAAAAACAAAAACCCCGATAATAAAAAAAAAAAAAAAAAAGGAAACCAAACCTTAATTAATTCATTTTATTTTGGTTATTATTTTTCATAAACACTTCATAAAGCAGTGACTTGTTAACCCGGAAAGGATTTGCATCGGGAGGAAATAAAGAAATAAATCTATTTATGCATTCGGAGAGGGTGGGACGGGAGGGCTTTGGTTTTCTGGGATATTTTCCTAGCGGTAGAGAAATAAAAATATCTATGAAACAACGACGTTTTCCCATCTTTTTTTTTCCAGGGGTGGGCTTGGATGTGGATTTGGATGTTGGGTTGGAGAAGCAGGGGGTGATGGGGCTCCAGCGGCAGCTGCTCCTCCCTCTCCCTGTGTTTTTTGGGATTTGTTTTCCCGTTAGGATTCAGTTTGGTGCTCGGGCAGGGATAGAATTCCCATCCCTGGGCAGTTTGTGGGATGAATTTTGGGAATAGCTGGGTTTGGGTGGTGGCTCTGGGGTGACAGAGGTGACGCAGGGACGCTGTGCTGGCTCTGGAGGAGCCGATGTTCCCACATTGACCAGCAAATCCCGGGAGCTGGGACATTCCCAAACTCTCCGTTCCCATGGAGCAGCCTCGGATCCGTGGGATCCGTGGGAATCCTGTTTTAGGGATCCATCCCATCCCATCCCATCCCATCCCATCCCATCCCATCCCATCCCATCCCATCCCATGAACTCATTCCACTGGGACAGGGAGGGCAGAACCAGCAGGGTCTGGTGGCCACGAGCCACCGTGTCCTCCCTAGAGCTACCATGTCCCTCAAGAGTCACCATGTGTCTTCTGGAGCCCCCACGTCCCCCCCTGGAGCCTCCATGATTCCTGGGGCCACCATTTCCTCCCTGGTGCCACCATAACCCCCTGGAGCCACCATGTCCCCCTGGAGCCACCATGATTCCCGGAGCCCACCACATCCTCCCTAGTGCCACCACATCCTCCCTGGGGCCACCATGTCCCCCTCAAGCTACTGTGTCCCTTCTAGAGCCACCACAACACCCTGAAGCCACGGTGTCCATCTGGGGTCCCCCTTGGAGCCATCATATCCCCCTGGGGCCACCACAACCCCTTGGAGCCACCATGTCCCCCTCGAGCCACCGTGTCCCTTCTGGAGCCATCATGTCTCCCCTGGAGCCACCATGTCCCTTCTGGAGCCACCGTGTCTCTTTTGGAGCCACCGTGTCCCCCTGGTGCCATTCTGGAGCCACCGTGATCTTCTGGAGCCACGGTGTCCACTCTGGAGCCACCACATCCCTTCTGGAGCCATTGAGTCCCTCTGGAGCCACCGTGTCCCTTTTGGAGCCACCACATCCCTTCTGGAGCCACCATGTCCCTTTTGGAGCCACCATGTCCCATTTGGAGCCACCATGTCCCATTTAGAGACCCTGTGTCCCATTTGGAGGCCCCGTGTCCCTTTTGGAGGTCCCGTGTCCCTTTTGGAGCCACCGTGTCCCAGTTGGAGGCACCATGTCCCATTTGGAGGCCCCGTGTCCTTTTTGGAGGTCCCGTGTCCCATCTGGAGGCCCTGTGTCCCTTTTGGAGCCACCGTGTCCCAATTGGAGGCACCATGTGCCATTTGGAGGCCCCGTGTCCCTTTTGGAGGCCCCGTGTCCTTTTTGGAGGTCCCGTGTCCCATCTGGAGGCCCTGTGTCCCTTTTGGAGCCACCGTGTCCCAATTGGAGGCCCCGTGTCCCATCTGGAGGCACCGTGTCCCTTTTGGAGCCACTGTGTCCCATTTGAAGCCACCGTGTCCCAATTGGAGGCCCCGTGTCCCCGGAGGTGGCACCGTGGGCGTTCCCGGGCCGTTAATGATTCCCAGGATGACGTGGGGACTAAAGGGCTTTTCCAAGGGTCACCCTGCCGGTGGGGCCACCCTCGCCCGGCCTCGCCCAGCCCCGGCACCGCCACGATGGTGGCCCTGAGCGACTTCCAGCGTAAGCAGGCACCGGGTGGTCCCGTCCCGGTGGGAATTCCCGTCCCGGTGGGAATTTGGGATCTGGAGCTCCATGGGGACATTTGTCAGGTCCCAGTCCCGGCTGGGACCCCCCTGGATGGGGTGGTTGGGGCAGGCAGGGCTGAGGTGGGAAAGGGGATGGGCTGAGGGTGGGGAGATTTTCTGGGATTATCTGAGGATCATCCCCAGCTTTTCCTGGAGGGAAAGGGAAAAGGGAAAAGGGAAAAGGGAGAAGGGAAAAGGGAAAAGGGAAAAGGGAAAAGGGAAAAGGGAGAAGGGAAAAGGGAAAAGGGAAAAGGGAAAAGGGAAAAGGGAAAAGGGAAAAGGGAAAAGGGAAAAGGGAGAAGGGAAGGGGAAAGGGGAAAGGGAAAAGGGGAAAGGGGAAAGGGAAAGGGAAAGGGAAAGGGAAAGGGAAAGGGAAAGGGAAAGGGAAAGGGAAAGGGAAAGGGAAAGGGAAAGGGAAAGGGAAAGGGAAAGGGAAAGGGAAAGGGAAAGGGAAAGGGAAAGGGAGAAGAGAAAGGGAAAGGGGAAAGGGAAAAGGGAGAAGGGAAAAGGGAAAAGGGAAAAGGGAAAAGGGAAAAGAGAAAAGGGAAAGGGGAAAGGGGAAAAGGGAAAAGGGAAAGGGGAAAAGGGAAAAGAGAAAAGGGAAAGGGGAAAAGGGAGAAGGGAAAAGGAAAGGGGAAAGGGAGAAGGGAAAAGGGAAAGGGAAAAGGGAGAAGGAAAGGGGAAAGGGAAAAGGGAGAAGGGAAAAGGGAAAGGGAAAAGGGAGAAGGAAAGGGGAAAGGGAAAAGGGAGAAGGGAAAAGGGAAAGCCTGGGCAGGGATTTCCCATTGAGTTTCCTTGGTGGTTCCTGATTTATCCGGTGCCCTCGGGGGTTCCTGGGACACCAATGGCCTCCTCCAGGCCTGGCCCAGGCTGGTCCTGAGGTTTGGGGGGAAAGCCCAATGTGGATTTTTGGGAAGGAACGGGACTGGGAGGTCCTGGGACCCCAGGTGTGGAGTCTTGGCCTCTGCTCGCCCGTTTTCCACAGGGATCGGAGTGGGCCTGGTCGGCTTCGGCCTCTTCTTCCTCCTCTTTGGGATCCTCCTGTACTTCGACTCGGTGCTCCTGGCTTTTGGGAACGTGAGTAGGGCCAGGCTGGGGGTCCCCACAGCCGGGTCAAGGAGCTGCCCTGACCCTCTCCTCTCCCTCCTCCCAGCTCCTCTTCCTCTCCGGCTTGGTCTTCATCATCGGCTTCCGGAGGACCTTCACCTTCTTCTTCCAGCGGCCCAAGCTGAAGGGCACCAGCTTCTTCTTTGGGGGGCTCATCGTGGTCCTCATGAGGTGGCCGATCCTGGGGATGCTGCTGGAGGCCTACGGCTTCATCTCCCTCTTCAGGTGCGGGATGGGATCCTGGGGATCAGATCCCTGGGGTGGGATCCTCGGGATGGGATCCTCGGGATGGGATCCTTGGGGTGGGATCCTCAGGATGGGATCCTCGGGATGGGATCCTTGGGGTGGGATCCTTGGGATGGAATCCTCGGCATGGGATCCTTGGGATGGGATCCTTGAGATGGGAAACCTGGGATGGGATCCTCAGGAGATCCTTGGGATGAGATCCCCGAGATGGGATCCTCGGCATGAGATCCTCAGGATGAGATCCTTGGGTTGGGATCCTCGGATCCTCAGGATGGGATCCTCGGGATGGGATCCTCAGGATGTGATCCTCAGGATGGGATCCTCGGGATGGGATCCTTGGGGTGGGATCCTCGGCATGGAATCCTCGGCATAGAATCCTTGGGATGGGATCCTCGGGATGGAATCCTTGGGGTGGGATCCTTGGGATGGAATCCTTGGGGTGGGATCCTTGGGATGGGATCCTCATGACGGGATCCATGGGATGGGATCCTCAGGATGGGATCCTCAGGAGATCCTTGGGATGAGATCCCTGAGATGGGATCCTCGGCATGGGATCCTCAGGATGAGATCCTTGGGTTGGGATCTTCTGGATGGAATCTTCGGGATGGGATCCTTGGGGTGGGATCCTCAGGATGGGATCCTCAGAATGGGATCCTTGGGGTGGGATCGTTGGGGTGGGATCCTTGGGATGAGATCCTTGGGATGGGATCCTTGGGATGAGATCCTCGGGATGAGATCCTCAGGATGGGATCCGCGGGATGGGATCCTCGGGATGGAGCCTGGGCTCTGGGGCTGCTCCCCAGGGCTCAGAAGGGCCTTTTCTGTCCACACAGGAGCTTCTTCCCGGTGGCTTTTGGGTTTTTGGGCTCGCTGGCAAACATCCCCCTGCTGAGCCAGGTGAGAGGGGGCCACGGATGGGATTGCACGGGAGATGTCACCGTGGTGTCCCCAGAGCTGGCCAGGAGGATGTTCCCACTAATCCTGGTCTGTCCCTGTCGCAGCTCCTGCAGAAAACGTGGGACAGCGGCTCCATGGTGTGACCTGACCAGCTCTGGGCCGAGTGGCTGCGGTGGGACAGGGGGAGAGAGCCCCGGGTCCGGCTGTCCCCAGGAGCTGGTGGCTCTTTTGTCCCCAGGACCCTCGGTGCTGGCCAGAGCCATCCCCCAGCGGGGACAGTGTCCCCTCACCGTCCCACCGAGCTCCTGAGCCGGGCTCCGGGCTCCAAGGGCTGCACCAGGCTGGATTCTGGAGCTCTTGTGGTTATTTAATTCTTTTCTGTGAAAGATTTAATTTAATTAAAAAATGTCTGAGGGCGAGCTCAGACTCCTTTTGCATGGCTCAGGGCGTGTCCCAGTGCTGGCACCTCCCGATGTCACCAGGAGGCATTGTGGCCATGGCTGGCGGTGGCAGAGGGACATTTCCATGGCTGAGGGTGACACAAGGACCTTTCTGTGGCTGGAGATGACACAGGGACATTTCCATGGCTGGAGGTGGCACAGGAACCTTCCCCTGGCTATGGCTGGAGGTGGCACAAGGACACTCCCATGGCTGAGGGTGACACAGGGACATTGCCATGGCTGGAGGTGGCACAGGGACATTGCCATGGCTGCTCCTGGAGGTGGCACAGGAATCTTTCCATGGCTGGAAGTGGCACAGGAACCTTCCCCTGGCTATGGCTGGAGGTGGCACAAGGACACTTCCATGGCTGGAGGTGGCACAGGGACATTTCCATGGCTGGAGGTGGCACAAGGACATTTCCATGGCTGAAAGTGGCACAGGGACATTTACATGGCTGGAGGTGGCACAGGGACATTGCCATGGCTGGAAGTGGCACAGGAACCTTCCCCTGGCTATGGCTGGAGGTGGCACAGGGACACTCCCATGGCTGGAGGTGGCACAGGGACATTCCCATGGCTGGAGGTGACACAGGGACATTTCCATGGCCAGCACTGGGGGTGACACAGGGACATTTCCATGGCTGGAGGTGGCACAAGGACACTCCCATGGCTGGAGATGGCACAGGGACATTTCCATGGCCAGCACTGGGGGTGGCACAGGGACATTGCCACAGCTGGAGGTGGCACAGGGACATTGCCATGGCTGGAGATGGCACAGGGACATTGCCATGGCTGGAGGTGGCACAGGGACATTGTCATGGCCAGCACTGAGGGTGGCACAGGGACATTGCCATGGCTGGAGGTGGCACAGGGACATTTCCATGGCCACCACCGGGGGTGACACAGGGACATTCTGGGCCAGGAGCTCCCCCAGTGTCACCCCAGGTGACTTTGAGTTGTTTTCCTGCCCAAGTTCCCGTCCTGGGCCCAGCTGGGCTCCGGGGAGCGCTGGAAGCTGGAGCTTAATTAATCTCATCAAACAGCTCTTAATTAACATGCAGGAATTAATTAACGACTTGGATCTGAGGCTGTTCCCTCTGGAACCCTATGGGAGATGGTGGCTCTGAGCCTGTTGTCACCTGTCTGTGCCCATTGTCACCCAGCTGTGCCAGTTGTCACCTGGCCATGCCTGTTGTGACCCAGCTCTGCCCGTTGTCACCTGCCTGCCCCTGTTGTCACCCGGCCACGCCTATTGTCACTTATCTGAGACTGTTGTCACCTGTCTGTGTCCATTGTCATCTGTCTGTGTCTGTTGTAACCCAGCTGTCCCTGTTGTCACCCAGCTGTGCCCGTTGTCACCTGTCTGTTCATGTTGTCACCTGTCTGAGTCTGTTGTCACCCGGCTGTGTCTATTGTCACCTATCTGAGACTGTTGTCACCCAGCTGTCCCTGTTGTCACCCAGACATGCCCATTGTCACCCAGCTGTGCCCATTGTCACCTGACTTTCCCTTTTGTCACCTGTCTGTTCCTTGTTGTCACCCGGCCACGCCTATTGTCACTTATCTGAGACTGTTGTCACCTGTCTGTGTCCATTGTCACCTGTCTGTGTCTGTTGTCACCCAGCTGTCCCTGTTGTCATCCAGCTGTGCCCATTGTCACCTGTCTGTGTCTGTTGTCACCCAGCTGTGCCCGTTGTCACCTGTCTGTCCGTGTTGTCACCCATCTGAGCCTGTTGTCACCCGGCCGTGCCTATTGTCACCTATCTGAGACTGTTGTCACCCAGCTGTCCCTGTTGTCACCCAGACATGCCATTGTCACCCAGCTGTGCCCATTGTCACCTGACTTTCCCTGTTGTCACCTGTCTGTCCTTGTTGTCACCCAGCCATGCCTATTGTCACCTATCTGAAACTGTTGTCACCCGGCTGTGTCCATTGTCACCGGTCTGTGCCTATTGTCACCTATCTGAGACTGTTGTCACCCAGCTGTCCCTGTTGTCACCTGGCCATGCCTATTGTCACCTATCTGAGACTGTTGTCACTCAGCTGTCCCTGTTGTCATCCAGACATGCCCATTGTCACCCAGCTGTGCCCATTGTCACCTGTCTGTCCCCGTCGTGCCCATTGTCACCAGCCCAGGTGTGCTCCAGGTGAAACCAGGGCTGGGAGGGGCTCTGGGCTGGTTTGTGCCCCAAATCCCAGCCCGGGGAAGGGGATCCCACTCTTTGCCTGCTTTGACGACAGCGGGATGGGAAATGGGATTCCCGGAGGGCCGGAGCCTCCTCAGCGCCTCGATTCCTGCTTGCTCCAGCTGAAAATTCCCAACTTTTCCTGCTGAGGATTCATTTTTAGGCCTCCATGGATCCAGGGAGGGATTCCTGCCTTTCCCTGACGCCCTGGAACCTCCCATGGTTGGAAATTCCAGTTAAAGGATGTTTTGGGGCTGCATGGGAAGAGTTCAGGATATTCCCAAAGGGCTGGGAACGAACCCAGCGCTGTCCCAGGAGGAACAGGAAGATTCCCAGAGCTGGCCAGTGCAGGATGAGGAGATTCCCGAGGTTTGGAGCCCCCATCCCTGTGCCAGCGAGCGTGGAGGAGCAGGAAACATTCCCTGGGAGGTGCCGTCACCTCACCCCGCTGGCACAACCAAGCCGAGGATGAGGAGATGCCCCAAATGGCATTGAGGGATCCCGGAATCACGGAGTTATTTGGGGTTTTTAGGGATCTCAACACCCATCCCATCCCACTCCCTGCCATGGGACACACTCCTTTATCCCAGGTGGCTCCAAACCCCATCCAGACACTTCCAGGGGACAGCCTCACCTTCTCCAGGCTGGGAGGATCCTCAGGAAGGGCTGTGAGCTTTCCTCTCCGGAAGGATTTTCCCGGGAATGTTTTTTCCCTCCCAGTTCCATAAATCCTCTCTCTGGCAGGGTTTTGGTTTCAAGCACAAGCTCTGGGCTTGCCCTGACGTCAATCCCCGAATTCCCCCGGCGCTGGTGCCATCCAGAGCCTCCCCTAAGCCCTTCCCAAAAGTTGTTTTTACGCCGGAGCTTTTCGGTCACCCGGAATGAGGATCCTCACGAGCCTCACGTGGTTTCACCAGCAGCAAAATCCTGGATTAGAAAAGTGTGGAAATGCCAGGGAAGAGCAGAAATTCACCTCCTTTTTTTCTGTGCTGCTCCAAAAAGAAAAAAAAAACCAAAAAAAATCCCACTAGAAATCAAAGCTGTTCTGCCAAACTTCCCAGTGATTTTGTTTGGAGTGGGAAGAGCTAAAAAATTCGGATTTTATATTAAGGAAAGCACCCACACAGCCTGGCAGGAGAGAGGAACAAGCTTATCCATGGGGAAGGTGATTGTTGTCTCTGGGGAAGATTTTCCTTCCATTCTCCCTGGAAAACGGGCAAGAAAATAACAGGAAAATTCCCTGCTATTTCCAGAGGATCTGTAATTGGATAAAACCTCGGGATTTTGGAGTAAGGCTCCCCACATGGATCCAGTGAGGGATTCCTGCCTTTCCCTGACGCCCTGGAACCTCCTGTGGTTGAAAACTTCACTTAAGAGATGTTTTGGGGCTGCATGGGAAGAGTTCAGGATCTTCCCTGCGGATCTGAAGGGCTGGGAATGACCCCAGCGCTGTCCCAGATCTGCCTGATGTCCCTGTCCCTCTGACCCCCCAAAAAAACACTTTTTCAGGTCTTTTAAACCTTTTCCATCGCAGCAGAGGGGACTGGGGAATTCCTTGGGGGGGTTTTCCCAGCACTGGTGACATCCCAGAGCCCTGGAGCTGGGACAGCCAGGCCAGTGGCCACCCCAAAGCATCAACCCTTGGCTCTCTGAATTTTGGGGAAGTTTCTTTTCCCTGTTTTCCCTCCATTTCCCATCCCAGAGGCGTTTTGGGGCCACCCCAGTGGCGGGGAACACTTGTGCCCCTCTGGATCCCTCTGCCTTTCCCAGCTCATCCCACTCTGGATCCCGCACAGGAGAAGGGTCCAGCTGTGCCCAGAGCATCCCAAATCCTCAGGGATCCTACAGGGATCAAAAAGGGCTGGAAATTCGGATCGTCACGGCCCCACATCCTCGGAACCCATTTCCTTTGAAGTCCTGCTGCAAGCCGCGGTTTTTCCTGTGGGGAATGGAGCTTGGCAGAGCCCACGGGGTGCCCGGGCAGGGATTTATGGCCACGGGATGCCCGGGCAGGGATTTATGGCCGCGGGCTCCCTGCCAGGCCCTCTGCAGCTCCTGACCCCGCAACCCACGAGGCTCCCCGGAGTGACGCAGGGACACGGGTCCTGCGTGGGAAAAGACGTCAGGGATGGGGACACAGCCCTGTGGGGCTGAGCCGTGGGGCCTGCCGGGGTCAGCAGTGCCCCGGCAGCCAAAATCCCACAAGGGAATGAGGTGGGAAACCTCCAAATTTGGGGGGAAGTTGTTTGGAGTTTGTGGGGTGTGTCCCTGGGATGGGGTGAGAGCAGCGCCCTGAACAAATCCCGTAAGGAGAGGGCGATTGTGGGGCTGGGCTGGAGGGGATTTTGCCCTCGGGGTTCATCCAAAAAGAAATCCCATAAATGAAAGGGTGATTGTGGGGCTGGGCTGGGGGGGATTGTGCCCTCGGGGTTCATCCAAGAAGAAATTCCATAAAGAGGAGGGCGATTGTGGGGCTGGGGATGGGGTTTGGGGGAGATTGTGCCTTCAGGGTTCATCCAAAAAAATCCCATAAAGGGGAGAGTGACTGTGGAGCTGGGGGAGATTGTGTCCTTGGGGTTCATCCAAAACAAATGCCATAAACGGGAGGGTGATTGTGGGGCTGGGAGTGGGGTTGTGCCCTCAGAGTTCATAAAAAAAAAATCCAATAAATGGGAGAGTGATTGTGAGGCTGGGGATGGGGTTTGGGGGGATTGTGTCCTCAGGGTTCGTCCAACAACAAATCCCATAAATGAGAGGGTGATTGTGGGGCTGGGGGGTTGTGTCCTCAGGGTT